TCTAGATTAAACAGCACAACATGTCCGCCGAATCTGTACTGCTATACAGTACAACCATTTCGAGACAAAAGCACCAACGTACAGTGTTTCCAAGCAAAGAAAACAACATACGGCAACTCCAAGTAATAGCATAAGCATACGATGGCACTGACTACGATGAAAAAATCTGTAACAAAAAAAAAAAAAAAAAAAAAAAAGGTATACAGTATGTACTGTTTGATCTGTGTAACCGGGGAGGGCTGATCTTGATCGTAGGTCGGATTTTCATGTGACCCGGAAAATCTCACCTATATTCTGGATTTGTCCTAACGGTTTAGCACATTTAATACTCAATTCGATCAGAATATATAATAATTACAAGCAGAAAATGCCACTTTTATCATATCTGGAAATTTATATTAGTTTTCGAACTAGTTTCTCAAAAAAGACACAGACCGAACTTGATAACTGTGGACCTCTATAATTTGCCATTCAAGCTAAAATCTGTACAAATGTAGGCTGGGTGATACTAATACATCAAATTATGAAATTAACTGTAAAATTTCCCATTTCTTCCCATTTTATGCATTATCTAATTGGATTTAAGATTTTGCAAACAAACATCGCTTAACTTGCTATAGTAACCAAGATGTTATACAGCACAAATTCTTGTGGTGTCAAAATTTAAAAAAATATTTATATAGATAATATAAACGTTACTTGTATGTAATGAATGATTTTAATATAACGATAATATATTTTTAATGCTAAAATAAAATTTTGTATCATATATGTAAATGTAATCTGGTTTCTTGCAGTACATAATACCGATTATAACCAAAAACCTATTAGGTATCTAGAAATATGATTTAAAAATGTGGTCTAAATTGGAAAATTAATTATAACATTTGTATTGGACAGTAGAAACTGTTCAAGAATTTTTGAAGTTTAATCAAAAAGACTTTTCTCTTAGTAATGCTGAAATCTAAAAATTTGTGAATTGTTTAATCAATAATCAGCACTTCTTAATATAAACAAAGATGATCTTATATCAAAGGCTGGTCTAAGACTTGGGCTAGCTTTAAATATTGTGGTTTTTGTGAAAATTTAAATAACCAAAGTTGGTGTTATTATAAATTTAAATATTATAACTATTATTTAATTCTCATTCTTAGTTGTCATATTTACTAAGCAAAATCATTCAAAATATATATTTTCTTTAGGACAGTGTAAGCATTGCTACTACATTTAACTATTTTATTGTCATGTGTGTTGTTAATAAGTTTAGTTATGAAATTTGAAAGTTTAGAAAGTAATTTTGTTTATTTATTGAATTTTAACCTGTTTTAATGTATATTTTTAATTTTTTTTTTAGATTCATTATGCAAAAATGTGTTAGAAGTTATTCACTATCTTAAAAAACTTGAGTGACTTCCAGGGAGTTTGCAAGATCATGCAGCAAAAACAGAGAAGGAGAAAGTAAATGAAGATACAGAAGATGCATCGCAAGCCAAAATCAAATTATTAACATCAAATAATACCCAGTATTTTATCCAGCATTTTGATAACAAATCTCTTGCTATAATTGAGATATCAGTATTATATGCAAGGCAGTCTTGTAAAGACCTTTATAATTTAATAATTACAATGAAGAGTTCTAAGTCCTAATAACTAGCATATCAGGTGTCAGTAAATTATACTTTTTGCTCTATTTGATAATTCAACTTTTATTAATGCTACAATCATTTTTCAACCAATTCAGAGTGAGTTATTATATTGTTTAACAAATTCTGAAATCATTGAAGGAACCTATATTGATTTTCATAATCTTTTATATAATCATTCTAAAACATGGTATCTAGTTAATGGTACAGGTTTTATAAAATATGTTTAGAGAAAAACAGTTGTTTCTGCATTGCCAAAAAGTATCCAAAGTGAAAAATTTCAAGAGTTTATCAAAGATCCTCATGTTAAATTTTATATTCTACTATGGTTAATAGAAGAGTTGTTAATCTGTAAAAAAATATATTCCACAGTACCACAAAATTTAATACTTGATCTTATTGATAAAGTAGGAGGTATTCCAAGATATATTCTTAAATAGCTAGTACATAAAATTTTCAACCTTGATCCAAAAAATTCCGAAAATTATAATCTTATAATGAATTTATGCTTAGAATGCATTGAAGAAGCTATCAAAGAAATTGACAATTTTAGTAAGCTTGTACAATGCTTCACTAAATGTGCTAGTTATGTTAAGTTTAGTAGTCATCTTATTTATAGATGGCCAGATACATTTTATTGAGAGTATACTCTCTATTGGGCTTCTAATTATATTTTCAATAAAATTGTGCAAAAACTAGAAGATAGTAGATGGGTTGACTTGTTTGTAGAAATTCAAAATCCTAATGATCTTTCCAGTAGCAGAGGTATTATGTTTGAATCACTTTTTCTTCATATTTTTCAGGTTGGAAACCAAGAATTTGAAACAAAGTGTGTACAAGAAGAACAGGTGAGGTGTTATATTACATTTTTATAATAATTAAAAAATTTTAAATATTAATTAATTACAATTTTGATATTAGTGCGAGAAAATAACTACATTAAAAATAACAGAAAAGAATTTAACTGTAAAGTATATTCGGAATGCAGAGCAACTTTCAAACTTTAATAATGAAGCAATAATTATTTAGCCAATCAAAAGAAATTTTGGTGTGGCAGATTTTATTATCTTGCCAGATAATATTTTTCAAATTACAGTGTCGAAAAAACATCCTATCAAACAAAGTGAATTAGTCAAAATAGTTAAAAATATAAAAGCCTACAGAAAAATAGAATTCAATAATCAAGCTATGGTTTGTAGTACCAGAAGACATATATGATGACTTTCAAAGCCAAAAATATATAACACCCAAAAAAATTATTGGTAATGATGAAGCCTATAAAGAAGTTTCCTGCAAGTCACCTCTTCTTGATAATATTGAACAATGGGTTGTAAAAATTAAGCTAACTCCTGGATTAGTTTAACAAGTGTGTTGTCAAATGTGATGGATGTTTATTTTATCATTAATAAAGAGAATGTTCTCAATAAATATTTTGTCTACCTCCAATTTTTATCATTATAAAAACTAATAAGAAAATCAGTTTAATAAAGCAACGGATTAAATAACCATATATATAATTCTAGAGATCATATCAGTAGAAAGTCCAATATGTGTAATTTCTAGTAGTTCAACTCACCTTCATAAACATTTTTTTAAATTTGCTCCAAAAGTGTTAAAGAGATATAAAGCATCCGGACGATTTTAATAGTCAACATTTTTCAATAATTTCTTTATAATTGGAAGTCTATGAATTATTGAAGTCGAAGGTTATTTATGATATTACCTTTTGCAAGTTGATTGTCATATTTTCGACCCAAAATAAATCAAATCTAGTGATAAATTGCCACATTGTTACATCTGATGCTGGTGTATATTTTCTAAGATATTCAGTATTATCAGATAAATTGTTCTCGCACTAACTTAAATCAGGTGATTGTATCGCAAATTTTAAAAACACAGAGTTTATAGCACAAGGCGGATTTGGCAATATTTTTGTTGCTACATGTGTCGATAGTCTGAGAATAAATTGGAATTAGGGTTGGTTTGGTCTTGCAAAGACCGGTCAAAGACCGTCTTTTTGATCGGTTCACAGTCTTTTGGTTTTCAGTCTTTTAATCAGTTCAGACCGGTTAATAATAAACTTTATAAATAAACTTTAAACTATCAATCACTATTACGTAAATAAAATCTCCATATATAAATATGTATTTAAAATTATGACATTATATAAATAAAAATCCCTACATTTTATTATATATAAATATGCATTTAGAATTATAGAATTACATAAATAAAAATTCCTACGTTTTATTATATATAAATATGCATTTAGAATTATAGAATTACATAAATAAAAATCTCTACGTTTTATTATATATAAACATGCATTTAGATTTGTAGAATTACATAAATTTTTTAAATTTTATTTAAGCGAATATTGAATTAATTTAGTATATACAATTTACACTTTTAAAAATTAAATTTTATAGCAATAATGAATGTAAGTAAACTTATGACAACTGAAAATAATACCTTTATGAATACATCTAGCCATCAAGAAAATAAATCATCAAGCATACCTAATTCTGCTTTTTCAAGTCTGTCAAGCCATCAAAATAACGAATTATCAAGCACATCTAATTCTGCTAAATCAAATCAGTTATATTCAACAAAATCACAATCACGAAACAAAGGAGGACGTTTAAAGTCATCTGTATGGAAATATTTCAAAACTGATATGAAAGAATAACCTGATCAACCTGTTTGTGATATATGTGGTGTTGAATTTGAATTAACAACTGCAACCACATCTTTAAGGCGACATTTAGAGTCTCATAAAATCATAGTACCAAAACAAGTGCAAAAAAAAAAATATATTATAACATTCCTTATTCAGTAAATGAACAGCAAGAACGTGATGTTGTTGTTGTAGAGTGGATTATAAGTGATGCACAATCTTTTAGTGCTGTAGAAAACAAGGCATGGCGACGAATGATTGCAAAATTTGATCTCATTATAAATTTCATGGTCGACATACAATAAAGGATTTCATTTTATCTTTATATGATAAAAAAAAAGATCAAATAAAATTAGTAATAAGCAATATCCCTGGTAAAGTATCATTTACCTCGGATATGTGGACTGCGTCAAATGGCTCAGCATTTCTTAGTTTGACCATTCATTACATTGATTATTTCTGGAAATTAAAGCATTTTTTGCTTGATATTATTCCAATAACAGTTTGACATACTGGTGTTAATATGAGTAATGCAATAATGAATTCACTTTGTGAGTTTAATTTAACAAATAAAGCCCTTGCCTTGACTACTGACAATGCCTTATCAATAATCGTATGTGGTGCATCTATGGCAGAAGAGTTTGAAGAAAAATTTGACAATCTTAATTTTTCGCACTATAGATGTGCTGCTCATGTTTTAAATTTAGCAGTTTTGCAAGGCATTGAATTAGTTGATAGAACTATTACTAAAATACGATCATTAATGTCATTTATAAAGGGTTCACATCCCATAAATAATACTTTAAAAGAATTATGTAATATTAAGAGTATCAATTACTTAAAACCTGAAATTGATATTAAAACCAGGTGAAACTCGACATTCTATATGTTAGAAAAGTGGAAACGTATGGAACCTGCTCTTAACTTGCTTGCTGCTGACCATCAACTTGTTCATCAACGATATCTAAATGCTGATGATTGTTGTAATATTAATGTAAGTAAATAACTTGCTTCGAATATATAATAAATTATTTAGAAATTTATTGTTAAAAAATAATAATAAAAAATAATAATATAATATTAATCTTAATATAAAAGGATATAATGATTCTTCTGGAACCTTTTGAACGTGCAACTCATTTTCTTTCGGCTTCTAGCTACCCAACTCATGGAGATATTTGCTTTATTTTTTCAAGTATTCAAGAACATTTAATTAGACATATAAATCAAGATACCATTTCACAAAAATCTATGGCAAGTGCTATTTACCAAAAATTGGATCGCTATTGGACAATTCTGGATGAAGCTCCACAGATCTCGGTATTCCTTGATCCAAGAATAAAGCTATCAACATTTAAAAATAAATATGAAAAAAATAAAGCAATTCGTTTAGTATTAAACTTAAATGAATACTTTGTGATATTACAACCAACTACACCATCTTGTGCTAATGACTTAATAAACTATTTTTGCCAATTACAGAATGATACCCCAGCATCTTTTTTTTCTAATACATTAACGCCTATACAACAAGAAAGTACTGGTAATAGAACATTAGATTCATCTTTAACAAATCATATTGAGAATGAAATAAGAAAATATCTGGCATTTCCCTTAGAGGATCATATCGATCCATTATTGTGGTGGCAAATGCAGCAAAAAGAATTTCCAAGATTATGCCTAATTGCCCGGGATTATCTATTTATCCAAGCAACTAGTGTTGCTTCGGAACGGGCATTTTCAGTAGCTGAGCAAACAATTTCACCAATGCGAGCTAGATTGGAGGAGGAAACTGCACGTACAGTTTTATGTTTACAAAGTTGGATTGACCAAGAGAGTTGTTAACATATTAAACATGCATAAATCAATTTGCTAATATACGTACTAAAATTTGTATTTGCTTCAAGATTCAAAATGCAAAATTATCCACAGGTCGAAAGATAAAAAATCAGGCACAAATCAGGTACCCGATTTTAAACTGATTACTGCCTGATTACCACCT